AGAGGACACCAGACTAATGCTCCCAGAGGGAGCACAAATCCAGGGGATACCTGAGTAACTGCAGGTGCCCTTGGGGATGTTCTCTTGAAGAACAGGAGAGCTAGTCACAGTGGTTACAAAAAATCTGAGTAGACTTTTAAGTCTAGAATGTGGGCAATTAGATTAGACTCTTTCACATATTATTAAGTCGGTCTCAAAGTGATGAAGTTATTTAGGGAAAGATTTTCGTATCTCCTGAGCCCTAGGGGACCAAGAATTTCTAGAGTTAAATCTTCTCAAAAGAGAAGCACAGGTAAGAGGAGAAATGCTATAAGGAAACAGGGGCGATGAAAGTGATTGACCCTGGGCTTGAAGTCCATTGGGAGAGTATGAATTTATCCAGTGGAGGTGAAGGTGGGCAAGATTCGGTAAGCAGTGGGTAATTGGATCATTCAGTGACTCCTTGGCTTTATACTTCTGTCTTATGGGAGCCTTCCCAAAACAAAACTGAAAGACTATGTTAGCAAACCAAATGTCTGAGCCCTAAATCAAGGGGAAATAGTAAAGGGTGCCACCAAACAGGGCTGCTTACAGGTTTTTTGAGAAGGAAAGGGATCACTCTGAGGGGCAGGATAACATTTCTAAAACTAAGGGAACCTTCTTAAAAAGAGTAGAGGAAATGTAGCCCTGAGGAGCGGGTAGTCTATGTCCTGGATCTCCACCACAGAAAGCAATGTGAGAAAGGGAAGATCTGCATCCCATTGAAGTGAAGTAAGTTCTTAAGAGTAGAGAAAATTCAAAAGCTGAAAAAGGTTAATTTTGGTGGGGAGAGAACATGGCAGAAGTATTGATCCTTGCTAGACCCCAAGGGGCATAGACTTTAGGAGCATGAATAACAGATTCTGTTCAGGAATCTACTGAGGATGACTCTACCGCTGAAATGGATATGGGAACCTCAGGGGGAAGTGACCCTAAGACACAAGTTGTAGAGCCCACATAAATTCTGTTCTAACAGGACTAGACAGAATCCACACTCAACCCAGGAGTACATGGTCTACACGGCCAGTGGAAATTAAGCGGTTTGGGATATTTTTCAAGAAATTATGGCATCCTAGGTAAAAAATGGACGGTCTTTGAGGCTAATGTGCCTGGGTTCACATTCCAGCTCTACCTCTTACTACCTGTGTGATTTTGGGCAAGTTACTTAACCTCTCTCTGTCACATTTTCCACTTGTCAAATGGAGAAGATAATACCTTGCTATTGGGGTTCTTAGGATTAAATTATTTAATACATGTGAAGTTATTTAAAACATGAAATTCAATAAGGGCTATTATTATTAGAAATATTTTCACCATTGAGTGGGATTTTTTGTTTGTTTTAGTTTTGTACCTTTATGAAGGTAAAGAAAGTTTGCTACAAAGTTGTTTTTTCATGAAGGAGTTAAATTTTTATCAAATCAGGTGAGTTAATCTATTGGGAAGAACATATGGAGTCTCTCCTTCATCTATGTATGGGGCAAATGGTATTATTATTGTTTTTTAATCTTGGAAAAAAATGCTTGAAAACCCTAAATGTCAGAATATAATGCAGATTCCATTTACTAAAGTTTATATAGCATTACTGCATTCATGTTGAGGTGAGATTGGCCTCTAATTTTCTTTTATTGTCCAATTTGGTTAACAAGCCTTATAAGGGTAATTTTCTCTCTTTTTCTATTCTCTGCAAAAGTTTGTATAAGACAGAAATAACCTGTTTCTTTTCCCCCCTCTTTTTCTTTATTTTATTTTATTTTTAACACCATGATAAGTGTACTCTTTAATGCCCATCACCTGTTTCACCCATCCCCCTACCCCCCTCCCCACTGGTAACCATCAGTTTATTCTCATAGTTAAGACTGTTTCTTGGTTTGTCTCTCTCTCTCTCTCTCTTTTTTTTTTCCTTTGCTGGTCTGTTTTGTTTCTAAAATTCTACCTGTGAGTGAAATCATATGGTATTTGTATTTCTCTGACTGACTTCTTTTGCTTTGCTTAGCATTATACTCTGTAGCTCCATCCATGCTGTTGCAAATGGCAAGATTTCATTCCTTTTTATAACTGAATAATATTCCGTTGTGTGTGTGTGTACACTCATACCACTTCTTTTTCCATTCATCTGTTGATGGACATTGGGCTGCTTCCGTATTTTGGCTATTGTAAATAATGCTGCAGTAAACATAGGAATGCATGTATCCTTTTGAATTAGTGTTTTTGTATTTTGGGGGAAATACCCAGTAGTACAATTACTGGATCAAAGGGTAGTTCTGTTGTTTCACCATTGATTATGATGTTGACTGTGGATTTTTCATATAAGTTCTTTATTATGTTGAGGTATGTTCCCTGTAGACCTACTTAACAGAGTTTTTATCATGCATGGATGTTGTACTTTGTTGAATGGTTTTTCTGCATCTATTGAAACGATCATATGGTTTTTATCCTTTCTCTCAGTGATGTGACATATCATGTTGATTGTTTTGGGACTGTTGAAGCACCCTTGCATCCTGGGAATAAATCCCACTCGATTGTGGTGTATGATTTTTTTATTAACATACTGTTGGATTCAGTTTGCTAATATTTTGTTGAGGACTTTTCATCTATATTCATGAGAGATATTGGCCTGTGTTCTCTTTTTTGTAGTGTCTTTGTCTGGTTTTGGTATCGGCGATACTGGCCTCATCAGAATGAATTTGGAAGTTTTCCTTCCCTTTCTATTTTTTGAAATAGGTTGAGAAGAATAGGTATTAACTCTTTTTTACATGTTCGGTAGAATTTGCCTGTGAAGCTGTCTGGTCCTGGACTTTTGTTTTTTGGGAGTTTTTTGATTATTGATTCAATTTCACTGCTGGCAATTGGTCTGTTCAGATTAACTATTTCTTCTTGTTTTACTTTTGATAATTTATGTGTTTCTAGGAATTTATCTATTTCTTCCAGATTGTTGAATTTGTTGGCACATAGGTTTTCATAATACTCTGTTAAAAATATTTGTATTTCTGTGGTGTTCGTTGTAATTTCTCCCTTTCATTAGTGATTTTGTTTATTTGGGTTCTCTCTCTCTCTCTTTCTTCTTTTCTTTCTTTTTTTTTTTTTGATGAGTCTGGCTAGAGGTTTATCAATTTTGTTGATCTTTTCAAAGAATCAGCTGCTGGTTTCATGGACCTGTTCTTTTGTTTTTTTAGTTTCTATATCATTTAGTTCTATTCTAATTTTTATTATTTCCTTCCTTTTGCTGGGTTTGAATGTTGTTTGGTCTTATTTTTCTAGCTCCTTTAGGTAAAAGTTAGATTGTTTATTTGAGATTTTTTCTTGTTCCTTGGGGCAGGCCTGTATTGCTATAAACTTGTCTCTTAGAACCACTTTTGCTGCATCCCAAAGATTTTGGACCATTGTGTTTTGATTTTCACTCGTTTCTATGAAGTTTTTTATTTCTTCTTTTATTTCTTTGGTTGACCCATTCATTGTTTAGTAGTGTGTAATTTGACCTCCATGTATCTACGCTCTTTTCCAGGCTTTTTCTTGTGGTTAGTTTCTAGTTTCATAACATTGTGGTCAGAAAAGATGCATGGTCTGACTTCGATTTCTTTGAATTTGTTGAGACTTGTTTTGTGGCCTAATATGTGATCTATTCTGGAGAATGTTCCCTGTGCACTTGAAAAGAATGTGGTATTCTTGCTGTTTTAGGATGGAATGTTCTGAATGTCTGGTAAATCCATGTGCTTCAGTGTGTCGTTCAAAGCCACTGTTTCCTTGTTGATTTTGTGCTTGGATTATCCATCCATCGATGTATGTGGGGTGTTAAAGTCCCCTACTATTATTGTATTACTATCAGTTATTTCCTTTATTTTTTTTATTAACTGATTTATGTATCTGAGTGCAAAAATATTTACAATTGTATATCCTCTTGTTGGATTGTCCCCTTTATTATACAGTGTCTTTCTTTGTCTCTTGTTACAATCTTTGTTTGAAAGTCTGTTTTGTCTAAGTATTACTACCCAGCTTTCTTTTGACTTCCATTTTCATGATAAATATTTCTCCATCCCCTCACTTTGAATCTGCAGTGTTTTTTGGTCTGAATTGAGTCTCTTGTAGGTAGCATACAGATGGGTCTCTGTCACCCTATGTCATTTCACTGGAGACTTTCGTCCATTTACATTCAAAGTAAATATTGATAGATCTCCGTATCAATTGCCATTTTGTTACTTGTTTTGTGGTTGTTTCAATAGATTTTCTTTGATCTTTTCCTCTCTTGCTTGTTGGCTTTCTTTAGTGATATTCTTGGATTCCTTTCTCTTTATTCTTTGCGTATCTGTTAGTGGTTTTTGATTTGTGGTTCTCATTAGGTTTGTATATAACATCTTCTGTATATAGCAGTCTATAGTAAGTTGATGGTCGCTTAAGTTAAAACCCATTCTTTTCTCCTCTCCTTCCACATTTTAGGTATGTGGTGTCATATTTTACATCCTTTCATTTTATGAATCCCTTGACTGATTTGTACAGAAATACTTATTTTTACTGCTTTTGTGTTTTTTGCTTTTCATATTCTCCCTTATGGTCTTTCCTTTCTACTCAAAATGTCCCCTTTAATATTTCTTGCAGGGCTGGTTTAGTGGCCTTTAGTTTTTATTTGTCTGGGAAACTCCGTTTGTTTGTTTGTTTGTTTGTTTTTTAAAGTAGGCTCCACACCCAGCGTGGACTCCAATGAGGGGCTTGAACTCACACCCCTGAGATCAAGACCTGAGCTGAGATCAAGAGTTGGAGGCTTAACTGTCCACGCCAGCCAGGCACACACACCTGTCTGGGAAACTCTTTATCTGAATGATAGTCTTGCTGGACAGAGTATTCTTAACTGCATATTTTTCCCTCTGGGCTCTTTGAATATATCATGTCACTACCTCTGGCCTGCAAAGTTTCTGTTGAAAAGTCTGCTGATGGCCTTATAGGTTTTCCCTAGTAAGTGACTGTCTTCTTTTCTCTTGCTGCTTTTAAAATATTTTCTTTATCTCAACCTCTTGGGTTGAATTTTTGGGGCACTCTCTATGCCTCCTGGATCTGGATATCTGTTTCCCTCCCCAAATTAGGGACGTTTTCAGCAAAACGTCTTCAAATAGAATTATTTCTTCAGATAGAATTTCTGCCACCTTTTCTGTTATTCTTCTGAGACCCTTACAATACAAATGTTACTATGCTTGATGGAGTCACTGAGTTCCTTAGGACTATTCTCAATTTGCATAATTTTCTTTCTCTCTTTTGCTCACCTTGGTTACTTTCCACTCCTCTGTCTTCCAGGTCATTAATTCATTCCTCTGCTTCATCGAGTCTGCTATTTATTCCACCAAGTATATTTTTAATTTCATTTATTGTCTTGTTGATCTCTGGCTGGTTCTTTTTTATCTATGTGTTAAGGGGTCTCACTGATGTCCTCCACTCTTTTCTCAAGTCCAGTGAATATCTTTATGGTCGTTAAATCCTCTATCAGAATTATATCCAGTTCACTTAAGTCTCTTACTGTGGTTTTGTGCTGTCATTTCATTTGGGAGATATTTCTCTGTCTCCTCATTTTGTCTAACCATGTCCGTCTCTGTGTGTTAGGAGAATCAGCTGCTTCTCTTGCTCTTAACAGTAGTAGCCTTATGAAGAAGAGGTCCTGTAGTGCCTTGCAGTGCAGTGTCCCCTGTTCCCTGGGGCTTCAGGGAGTGTCTCCTCTGTGTTGTGTGTGCTCTGCTGTTGAGGCTTGGCCTCTTTTTCCTTCCGTCCAGTTGTCTGCAGAGGCTCTCTTTGCCTATTGTGGACAGTGTTTGGTCCCCAACAGTGGTGGGGGTGCATTTTAACAAGGTGTGCAGTGGTCTCCTTGCAAATGAGACCTGCCCCTGCTGCTGCAGGAACTGAGGTCCCGCAAAATGTGCTGGTCTGGAGATGTGGTGGACAGGTGGCCTGGTCTTCTCGGGGAGGGGCCCTGCAGCACTGGGAAGGGCGGATCTGCCCAAGCAAGGGGTTGGGGACTTGGTGCAAACAAGTTAGGTAGCAAGTATTGACACAGCGCTTGTTCCCACAGATGGCCATTGTTTTTTCTGAGGGGGAGGGGGAGGGAAATGGCACCTGCTGGTTCCTTTGTCCCTGGAGGGGTCTTCCCATGATCCTTCTCTCTTGGTTCTGGTGCTGCATCTGCATGGGCTGTTTGTTGGCTGTCTCTTTAAGGGTGGGGACTCTGCTTTCTGACACCCTCCAGGCGCTCCCAGAGGTGAGCCTGCCAATTTTTAAGATTCCAGGCTTTAAGTCCCACTAGTTATAAGAACTCATGAAGTTCGGCCTCTCTCTCTTTCAAAGGCAGATGTTTTGGGGATTTGTCCTCCCTGTTTGTGGGCTCTCCAGTGTGCAAGTCTGTTTTGTACCCTTCTCTGCACCACCAGCTCCCTCTCCACCAAGGACGTCCACGGTCCGTTTAGCTCCTAGACCGCGTCTTCCGTGTCTTTGCCCTTCCTACCTTCTTCAATGTGACTTCTTCTCTTTCTTGTGTAAGTCTTGGGTCATTTTCTGGGTGATTTACATTGCTGTGAGTGT